ATCCTACGGGTGATTCTGGATAACAAATTAATTTTCAATTAAAGCGCACCTAGAAGAGCAGCTTACAAAACAGACTACGCAAATTTAATTCGAAGGATGCAACAGTACGTCTCTATAAGCGCTCCCGCGCATTTGGAATATTGTACTCCTCTTTTTTGGGTATTTGTAATGTCGAGACTAATAAAATGGAGAACTCTAACTATTATTTATCAATTAAACTATCAGAATTCTGTCAGATGAGACCCTTTTAAATAAAGGTAAATCTGTGTAACGCTTTTAATTAGGATTTTAGCATTGTAATTTAGGTTTTATTTTCCATCTTTATTTAATTTTTATGTGAGGCGCAGTTAAATATTTTCATAGAAACTGCGGGGTACAAATTTCTGTTAATAATAATAATAATAATAGTTGATATCCAATGTTTAGATTGAACGTCGACTATTTCAATCGTTAATTATGCTTTACAATGCGCACTGTATATTAGTGGAATTTTTCGATTTAAGAATGTCTCGTATAGTTTACGTAGTCTTGGCACAATGCTTGAGCTGCCATCTGTTTATTTAGAATGTATGCATAAATGATAAATCTCCTACCTTTTTAGTTAACAAGCCGTTATCCTGTTCACAGTAGCCTGCGTTGCAGCCGGCCCAAGCACTCGTCCACAGAAGGTTTGGAGCGTCTGCGACGCAGGCAAGTTCGTAGATCCTCTATCTGATATTTTCTTCTTCAAAGTCCGTCGAGCGCTCGTGTTATAAAAACTAAAAGTACAACCAGTGATTTGAGAATCTCTTGAAGCCTTCATGTCTAAATGCGTTCAAATTTTATAAGGATTTTAAATTTTATCTGTAAATGTTATTTGTAAATATTATCTGTAAACATTAATTGTAAACATCATTTTTAGCGTATAGGTGGTTTTCACGTCATCTCATCGCCGCCATGCTGGTGGACGGTAAACAAAAGATCGCTCATTAGCTCGCTTTGTTTGTCCACCAGCATTTGATGATGATGATGATGATGATGATGCCTTTATTAAAGTGTCAAAACTGTAATAGCGGTGTATAACCACTAAGTGGGGGCACTAAAATTAGTTTAAAAAGAATAAATCAATCAATTAATTAATTAAAAATGAAAAAATAAAAGAATATAAGAATTAAGAAATTAAGAAAAACTATGTACAGTATAAGGAAATAAGAAATTCGAGAGAACTATATACAATATGTACAAATGTATTCATTATCTTATAAAAAATAAGAAATAAAAAATTAAGAAATGTAAAGAGAGCAGTTATTGTCATCTAATAGCATGCTAAGGTCTACTTTTCTGATGTTATACTTGAAGGAGGACAACGTGGAAGCTTTTTTCACGTCACTAGGAACAGAGCTTTATAGCTTTGGGCCCATATACCTGAGCGAGTGCTTTCCAAAGGAGACTGTGTTGAATCTGGGTATAGTGAAGTCATGATTACGCAGTTTATACTTAATTGCAGGCTGTTCCAAGAGAATGCTAATGTATGTTGGGCACATGTTGTTTTTAACTTTATTCATGAGAACAGCTGTCCTAGCCTGTAGTCGTCGGTAGGCTTTGGTAGATTGTGCTAGCATAATTTTAAGCATAATTCAGCAAAACGAGCATTATTTTAAGCTTTTATTTCAGTTTAGCACTGCGGGCATAATCCGAGCTTCTATGCGTTGAAAACAAGAAAACCCATCATAGCTCTAGAATAATTCAGTTTGTATTTTATTTCTGTATTGTTTTTGGAAAATATTGAGGTCTGTGCTAAGCTAAGGCACATGGTCAAATATGGTCCGGCAGGCGGCAGAGGTCACCCTGTGCATAAGACTGACTCGGGCCTCCACGCTTATGGCGCGGCGGCTTGGCCCCTCAGATGGCGTCGTCCTCGAGTTCATCCACTTCCACCACTTCCAGTGCCGTACCGAGAGCTTTAATCCCTAGAGAACGTGTTCCTAAAAGTAATACCGGAAAGTAAAAGAAAAGAGGTAACTCAGATCCAAAGAACATGAGTCCTCGTGATCGAATCGAAGAATTCCCAGGGGAAATTTGTGTCTTTGAGGTGGAAAACTGTTTTGCAATGGGTGTAAGCAGATATTGAGCTCTAAAAAGACCACTTGGCTTCCAAAAAATATGCCGCAGGCAACTGAGAAGTTAAAACTGACCAAAAAGCGAGATCATGTGTGCACATGCGTATTTGCCACGCTAAAGACTGTAAGACTGGAAGGTGGACTATATGAATGTTCATTAAAGTCAAAATTGATAGAGTTAAGCTACTGATGATCTTTATGTTCCTTAAAATCAGTGTAAAATATAAGTAGCACAATTTCAGTGACAGAGAGCATAATTTTCAGAAAGTAGCATAATTTTGGCATAATTTCTAAAAAATATGAGCACTGCTAAAAGCATAATATGCTTTTTTTTCGAGCACAATCTACCAAAGCCTAGTCGCCAATTGTGTAGAGTAGAAAACCACCTATTAGTATTATAG